AACTATCGATAAAGTTTCCCGTTTCCAACCGCAACGGAGAGTCAAAGAGGATCGTTCTCTCGGTCTTCTAATCCGTAATTCGACTTTCGTTTCGAGATGAGAGAGAAGCAAACGACATAACTGTATAATAACAATATTTCAATTATAATGCTCTACAAAGTATGACATTATATCATCATTATTTTAGTAAAATTGTTATAATATTTCGAAGAAATAACCAAAGGTATTACATAGAATTTAATGAACAGCATGTCTTGCAACTTTTTTTTTATTAAACTTTTTTTTCTACGCGATAAAAAAAAATTTTCCCGTTTTAAAATTAATTTTTAAAATTTTATAATAAAATATATTGTATATAGCCCTCTATATATTGCGCGTTGAAATTCCAATTCTATTAATTAATTTAATCGTTCGTATTCGAAAACGCGCGAATTGATTTTACATATTTACGTTAACGAATAAATGTATAAATATGAATAATTGGCGATATTATCATCGATCACGATTGTGTCACAATTGCATTACGTTTGGAAATATTCGCGATCGCGAGACAAATATTGTCGAGGCTTGTCGCGTTCATTAATAAACGCGTTCGTTAATAGATCGCCGCGCTCTTACGCCTAGGATTGTATCATTTCGTTCGGAAAAATTGGATCATCTCCCGGCCAAGGCGGGTTACTTCGCGATTGCGACTTTAATTATAAATCGGATATTAATCTCATAGGGCTCGCGCTGTTATTCGGACTTGATTCGAGCGAAATTAAGTGAAAATATTTATGAGCAATTTACACGCGGCCGATATTGCGCTCTGCATGTTTCACGCCGTGACAACGCGCGCGCGTCGTCATGTCGCTATACTTTGTACGACTTTGTCGCAAAATTAAATGCGGTTGCCTCCCGTCGGGCTTATCCCGGTCGGAAATTTCCTCTGAATTATTGACGAGCTGCCGCTTTTGACTCTTACTGAAAGACGCGACGCGGTGCCCTTTATTCCTCGACTAACACGTGGCGTAATAATGTATCTTGTGATAACCGACTCCATCCTGCAAAATAGAACCGCGTCTCTGGGCTCTCGGCTGGTCTCATCAAGTTTTCATTATCGCTCATCTATTACTGCGAGAATTATGCTCGAATAACTAACAGAAAAATTAATATTGATTCGTAAAACTTTCGAGATTTCAATATAAAATCGGTCTCGCACACATTTTATGGCACTTGTATGGTATTTTTTATTTGTTATAATATTTCAAACTCGATGATAAATTTGCACAAGCAATGACAAAAACAATAATAAAGAAATTAAAAAAAAAAAGATAGCGTAGATAGGTATATAAATTGAGCAGAAAGCGAATTTCAGGCGAATGATTTCAGTAGAAACGGCGGTTGTGGTCGGACACGGCTGACCTCTCTCACTTTTACTACTAGCTTCCCTAGTACCGCGTCACGTGAAGGCGTACTGCACTTGCATTAGAATAAACTACATCTATCCGCATCGCGATGCATCAAACGCGCAATAAATGTGGAATACAAATGACGGTTCTTTGCCCTTTTAACCCTCGGGCGAGCCATAAATGTCACTTTAGCAAAAGGACAAGTGTGCTCTGTATGTCATACATGATTGCTGGAATAAAACACAGACATAGAACGCCTTACACATGGTGTATGTATGTGCGTGTGTATTGAGTTAAATAGAAAAATTAAATAGAGAAAGTTAAATTTATCAAATATTTATATATAAAATTTTTGTATAAAAGCTTTAAATAGAGTTAAATTTATCAAAATTTAATATTATATATATAAAATTTAATTTATTTATATAATGGCATTTGTTGTTGATTGCAGCATAACAATGTCGTACAACATCATTATGAGTAAGTTATAGAATTTGTAACAAATGGCAAATAACAACTTTATTTGTTACAGCTATGTAACGTATTTATTTCTTACAATACTTTTTCATCTCAATATTATTTAATTCGCACTTTCACGCATAAAATACATTTGTAGCTATAACGTAAGAGAACAATAAATCATATATATGTATTGTATAAAATATATCATATGTATATATATATATAATGTTTGATAAAACTTTTTTTTTCATTTATACTCGTGTAGAAAACAAAGCTTGTACGTTAATATTGTTTGATAAAAGCAAAAACACTGGACATTTCTAGTAAAATTTGTTCAAAATACGAGAATTGAACGCTAAACAATGGGAGAATTTTAGAAGCATAGAAGATAAAATAATATAAAATGATCTTAAAAAATCGTAAATTAAAAGACTATCGTCAAAATTATCGCAAACTATTGCGAAAATCGTTTTCCCGAGATTTCCATATTGAGAGAAACTCATCGCATTCGCGTTGTTTCTCAAATATGTGCAACTAGCCAATGTTCGACGAAATTGCGAACAGTTATTACAAGTCGGGCATCTGCACGCCATATGCTTAGCATGTCGTGGTGAACGGTAACAGCCTGTGCCAAATTCCGTATGTTTGGTCAGCTCGCATTAGTGTTTCCCGGAGTCCCCGGAGAAGCCGCTAGTCGATAGTACTTTACGAGGATTCCAAGTAAGATATTAATGCATTGGGGATGTTTGCCGAGTCAGCATTTATTCGGCTGAATTTTATGTATACGATCGTACAATATATTCAAAAAGCATGCTTTCTCGCTCGCTCTCTCTCTCTCTCTCTTTCTTTTTCTCTCTTTCTCTCACATGTATTTTTATATATTTTGTATATAATGAATCTAGAAATGTGCAGATATTTTTTGATATAATTTGTATACTTTAAAAACCAAAGTTGGACTGCAAAATATTTTCAGTATTAAATTATATAAATTAAACGTATATAATAATAATACGAGTATTGCGTGTATAAAAAATATATTATAAAATTATAAAATTTATAACAGATTCAACATTTATATTGTTACAATTTTAATATACTCCTGTTTTTTCAAATCGTCAAATTGAACGAGCAAATTTACGCTTTTCCGTTTCAATTTTAAGGTTGAGCGATCAAAATCTAATCAAGGCGAGAAACATGCCGTTGGGGCATCCATATGTATCGTCTATCTTAAACCGTTTTGCATACGCTTCGTTTGAGAAAGACGAGGAGGGGCGATGAAGGAAGGAAGAATCGAAATATCTTTCGCTCGCGAAAAACGGTGAATGTTTTAAGAAGGAAAATAAAAAGTGGCAGACACACATACATAGGAGAATACGCGCACAGGACTCTGAGGAAACAAAATGTGTCTTTGACGTCGTTCAGCTTGGTCGAACATTTTTGCATACCTTTGATACTCTAGATGTACTTCGAAGTCCTTACGGCGGATAGATTCGAAGATGGAGAAGACTTTCGGTCTTATCACATAAAGAGGCTGGAAAACGCGTATTTAAAAGAAATGCGACTTGACTATACGCAGATGCGTTCCTGCCATTTTCCCGAATTTGACGATGGAACGTGTATTATGGATCAAATCGGAGATTAATATTGATATTATTATTTCAGCGAGTTCAAATATTTCTCGTCGCAATGGAATAGAGTCTCTATGAATGTTTTATTCCCGTCGATATAAAAATATGATATATATACGGTAACTGACATGAATTATATTCTTCACATTTATAGCAAGAGAATTAAATTTTTCGAAATTTATAAATGTCTACGTTAGTAGTATTAAAGTAAATAATTCGAGGAAGAGAGAAGATGGAGGGAAAAAGCAGTTGCGTGTATGTGTTATTGCTTTCCGGCGATGTTTAATAACGCAACTTCAACTATTATTATTTCAGCGAGTTCAAATATTTCTCGTCGCAATGGAATAGAGTCTCTATGAATGTTTTATTTCCGTCGATATAAAAATATATATACGGTAACTGACATGAATTATATTCTTCACATTTATAGCAAGAGAATTAAATTTTTCGAAATTTATAAATGTCTACGTTAGTAGTATTAAAGTAAATAATTCAAGAAAGAGAGAAGATGGAGGGAAAAAGCAGTTGCGTGTATGTGTTATTGCTTTCCGGCGATGTTTAATAACGCAACTTCAACACTCGACTGAATGTTTAACAACGTGTTTCCGGAAGTTCCGAACAATCGACGTTCGAACGCGAAAGCAATCAAATTTTTCAACCACGAAATTTTTCGATTAAATCGAGATTCGCGTGAACAGGGCGCGGAAACAGGGTATCATTGCGGGCGTTTTATTGTTGGCCGGCCAACCGATTTGTGGAAAAATCAACGGATCTCGTTCGCTCTGTTGCGCGCGGACGCGAATAAACACGGTTCCAACCGTAATCCGTCTTCGTACGTGCCATTTGCCTTTGACGTTTCACCGCCGTGAAGGGCATGCTGTGCTATTGATGATAGCGGCGGCAGTGTTGTCCGGAGTTGATAGTGGCCGGGGAAAGGTTGGAAGAAGGGAAGAGTTGATAACGGGGCACAACCTTCCTCCCGCCCGTCGTGGACACACAGTTTCGCGGGCGAGAAATAATGAAATTTGCCGTTGACGAGACGAATGGTGATTAATGAGCCGCGCACACAGGTGTGGAAATCCCGACCAGGGCTGCGCGCGTGTACATGGCACGTTGCACGGAAAAGTACGAAACGAATAACGAGCGATTCGGGTGGAAAAGATCAATCGAGATACAATCGTACATCGCGGATGAAAGACTATATACAGACTTTGTTTACGACTTTCGCGATCAATTTGAGGTCAATTCTTCTCCAATGAAATAATTAGACTAGAGCTCGTTCTACTTAAATTTTTTATTTTTAAAAAGAATAGCTGTTATTTATATCAATGATTAATTCATTTGTATAAATTTAATCACTTTTAAAGCGAAAAAATACCTTTTGCAAATCTTTTTCTTTTTTTTAAATATGTATTTAACGCAATCTCTAAGTTCAACCGTGCTGTTTCTCAGCTCCTTGTATCGTTAACAATGCAAGAGGAACTCGGAATATTGAATGGGGCTCCATTTCATGTTTCAGCTTACAGGCGAAAATAATGAAGTGGCTCTGGATAATCGTCTTAGTAGCTCTGGCCCTGCCGGCTGCCGTGCCACGAAAAATCCACAGAAGCAAGCCCAGTGAGTATATATTTTTAAATAAACGTAAAGTGTCGTATAAGCGATCGTAGAAAAATATTATGTTTAAAACCACTCGATTTATCTTCAAATAGTACCTTGCCTCTTTCAAAGAATTATTCCCTCTTTCACTGATTTAAAAGATGTTTAAATTTGACTATCACTCTTTAAATTTTATATCAGAGTTGAAGAACGTATATCGTATAATTATTCGGATATTCGAAATCACGTGAGTCATTATCCTATTGTGAATGTTTTCGATTCGGAAAATTTTCGATGCATCGCGAGTGAGCAGGAAATTCAATTCCGATTATGGAATTCGCGTAATGATTGGAAAAAGGGTTGTTTCTTCCCTCGCGTAAGCCGATTCCGAAAGAGAGGCATTGCTGTTGGAGAGCACTCCAATCACAGAACTCGCATTTCCAATCAGAATCGCAAACGATAGTTTCACGATAAATCGCTAATCTTTTTGGCAACCTGGAATAGTGGAGGCCAGGAAAATGTTACGTTTCTATATTTTTCAAAACGTAACTTTGAAACTTTTCTATTCTCTGTTATATCCTTATCTTTTTTATTGTTATACAGAATGGGTCGAAAAACCAAAAGGAAATAATCGAAAAAGAAATTTTTGTGCAAAATTATAGAATAAAATTTTTTTATACGAGGCTATGTATCCGAAAAATTAATTTTGATATTTTGAATAATATATTAAAGATTTTTTCTTTGCGTAAGCTTGAATGATCTTTAATTAGTAATCTCAAAAAGCGTTAATATGTGTCATACTTTTCAGTTCTTTTTTAAAATTTTGTTGAAAATAAAGTATCTCGTACGCGAAAAAATTTGATTTAACTTTGATTTTTCTTATCTTTTTTTATCGATTGCACCACGTTTCCCTATCCGTACCTCATTGCTTCGATTATAAGATGCGCTTCATTTCATTTTCCTTGGTCAAGATTTTCCTTCTTGTTCTCTGCAAGAGAAAATGAGCGGTCCTAGAGAAGAGTGACAAGCCCGAGCTGGGCCCTCGTCGGCGACAGATGTCAGTTATTGGAAGGATGTCTCTCTTTTTGTTTTCAGCGCCACGATTGTATGGCGACAGTGTCTCCGTCGATTTAATAAGGACCAGCAGCAGCAAGGTACGGCAGAAGATCGTGGACACACACAATTACTTTCGCACGCAGGTCGAGCCAACTGCCGCCAACATGCTCGTCATGGTAAGAACTCCATTTGTATTCTCTTCTAACAAAAGAGGTCGGGACTCGGTCGAATGTGTTTGTAGAGCGTTCGAGGTGTCGGACAATGATTATCTGTAAAAGTTTATAAAAAAGATTCTTGTCAGAATTTTGTACCGTGACGTTAGATCGTTCTATGCACTATGCTTATGTAAATTTGCTTTCAGAATATTTAATTCACTCGCGGAGCCTGCAAGTTACACAGATCATCACAAATTTCTCTTTTAGTATCTTTTATGTTTGTAAAATATCCCACAAATCTATCTTTTACCTATAAAAATTTATGTTTACGTAGAATGGGAAGAAAGCTATTTATCATAAATAGGTTCGTGAAGATATCATTCGTTAAATCGCATTACTGCCGCGGGATTGAGCGATAAACCTTATGCAAAGATAGAATCCAACGTGAACGCGAGCGAGTTGTACGTCGCTACAAGTGTTACTTGCGAAATACGGAATCGATGTATCCTATTTCCGTTGATCGGCGCGATTCGGACTTCAAAGTAGAATCAGTTTCGTTGGGCGGAAGTGGACGTTTACGGCGTTTGATCGGGACCTATGTACCGATAACCGTTTTTCTATAAATTTCATTTCAACGGGGCTCATCGCGATATTTCGAAAACTCTCTCCCGCGCTGCTTGTCGATACGAGAAAGAGCAAAGCTTCGACATACCTGTCATTGTTGCATCTGCTCGCGGCGGCGACGTGTTTCCGTTCGTGGACGATGATATACAGAGACACTTGGAGATTTTTTTGCAATATGATATAAATAGAGAGACGGTTTTTCTCATAATTTCCACATTAATGTTACAAGCGCTTTAAGACAAATTTATACTCTTTACTATTGTTAATCTCAAACGAATCATCCAAAGTGGAAAAAAGCGAGTAACGTGAATATATATATATATA